TGACATTGAGATGCAACCCATACCGAAGACTGTGTTCTTTGATCTTCATCAGTAAATGTTTCAAGTCCTCTTCACATTCAGCAAACAAGGTTGTATCATCTGCATATCGCAGGTTGTTAATGATTCTTTCTCCAATCCTGACGTCACGTTTTTCTTCATATTAGGGATGAGTTAATTAAATGCTTGACTGAATATAGCAGGCAAATTTTTAAGTTCATAATTTTATATGGCCCATGAATAATGTTATATATTTTGGCATAAAAAAAGGTTCCCCAACTGTGGTGGAAAGGCTTTAGAATAAAAACAAATAACACTGTGGTACAAAGACAGCAAGAAGGTTAGTATGGCTTGAGAGTAGAGTAAGCAAAAGGAATAAAATAGATAATATAAGGCCATATTGTGTAGTCTATTACATAGACTGTGGTTTATATTATGAACAAAAAGTAAGTCATTCTAAGATTGTTAAAGGAGGAATATCATGAAATAGGTGCATGGCAGTCTCCACTGTTAGCCCAATTTTTCAGTCTCCAGGCACCCACACATTTACTGTGGATTAAACACCCATGACTTTGGGCTGGGCCATGTGACTTGACAGTTGCAAATGGACAGAAGTGACAATACACTTGGTCTGAATTTGGGTCTTGCTGTGTTTCCACTTGTCACCTTATGCTCCCCTTGTCTCCATAAGCACAGTTTCGTCTCAGTGGCTATTGTTACACCAGTCCTGACCCCAGAATAACTGCACATGGAGCGTGAATACAATACTAAGTGTGACTGAACTCACAGCCTGACACAAACCATCTATCTGAGCCAGCCAAATCACATCAATCCACAGATCCATAAAACAAGTAACTGCTGTTTAAATGTTAGCAGTAGTTTGCTACGCAACATTATTTAGTTAGAAATATATATTTTTTAATTGTAGTAATTTTGTCAAAAAGCATGAAAGACATGGATGACTTTACACAAGGTAGTGGAAGTGAAGATGGTGAACTTTTGTTATATTCTGAAAGTAAATTATAAACTTGAAGATCTCTTGAGATATGTGAGCTATGGAATATGTGAGAGTCAAGAATAGAGTCACAGCAATTAGATGTGAAAGATTAAGGGTGGAGTGGAATTTGGGGGAGTGAAAAGGATAGGAGTATAAAGATTAAACTAATATTCACTTTTACATAGGCCCAATGTTAAACTTTCCACAGCTTGTCAGTTTAGTGTACTGTGGAGACTTTAGTGCTGCTGGGATGCTGGTATTTTAAATATCAGCAGGTTCACCCACAGTGAAGAAGTTTCATCGGAACTTTCAGACTAAAATAGAATAGGAAGAAGGAGAAGCAGACCACTTCTGAAAATTTAGCATTGAAAACCTTATGAATGAATAGCTGCAGAGCACTGGCTGCTATAGTGCTAGAAGATGAGTCCCTGAAGTGGGGAGGCACTCAAGCACAACTAGGGAAAAGCTGCCTCCTCAAAGCACAGTTGACCTTAATGATGTGATTGAGTTAAGCTTTTGGGACCTTTATTTGCTGATGGGGCACAACTTAAAAGGTAAAGACAACTGCAAACATCAATTAATAATCAGAATGTTGAATGTACAAAGTACAAATCTAGGGAAATTGGAAGTCATCAAAATGAAATGCATAAAGATGAATATGCTAGGCATTAGTGGGGTTAAATGGACAGATACCATCTGTTTTCAATCAGATAATCACAGGATTTATTATTCCTGGAATCGCAAATTGAAAAGGAATGGCATTGCATTCATGGTCAAAATGAGCATCTCAAATGCAATGCTGTCTGTGATGGGATACTATCTATATGCCTACAAGGTAGACCAGTTAATGTCACTATTACTCATATTTACACACCTAACACTAGAGCCAGTGATGATGACATTAAAGAATTCTATTAACTTCTCCAGTCTGAAATAGTTACAAGATGAAATAACAGGTAGATGGAATGTGAAAGTTAGACACAGAGGAAAGAACGCTTCCTTTCTTTGCTTTCATGTGACTGCTGCTACGTTCCATTTTCACTTTGTCTTCTCATAAGATTTTCAGGATCAAGAGATTCCTGGCCAAGAAGTAAAAGCAGAATCGCCCCATTCCCCCGAGGGATTTGTGTGCAAACTGGTAATAAAATCAGATACAACTCCAAGAGAAGACACTGGAGCAGAACCAAGGTGGGTCTCTAAGGAGTTGCAAATGTGATGGTGCAGCACATAATAGACCCAGGTCCTAGCACCCTACCATAGCAAGTTCAATTTTGCCAAGAGTTCATCAATTGAACATGTTTTGCCAAATTTCTGGTTTCATCCTTTATTTTTATGCTTCTGCATTTAAAGAGGTTGGCTAATACATATGTGAGACTTAAAAAACAAAAGAAAGAAAGAAACAGAGGAAAGATCACGAGTTGGAAAATATTGCCTTGGTGACAGAATCTATGTTGAAAATCGCATGATGAAATTTTTCAAGACCAATGAATTATTCATTGTAAATACTTTTTTTCAACAACATAAATGGTGACTATACATATAAACCTTACCAGATGAAATACAAAGAATTCAAATTGACAATGTCTACAGGTAAAAAGATGAAGAAGCTCGCTAACATCAGCCAAAACAAGGCCAGGGCCCAACTATGGAACAGACCATCAGTTATTCATATGCAAGCTCAGGCTGAAGCT